TTATTTTGTCTTTTATAAAACTCTTTTAAAACATTATATCTTTTCCTTCCACTTCACAACAATGTGCTAATTTGTGATGGGTTGTAACATGACCAAAGACAAAAACAAGCTCAAGGGGAGTGAATACCTTTGCGTGGTACTGTAGTAAAGGAGGCTCGTGAGTCTAAGAAGTTCAATAATCTCAAGATTTCTTAAGTGTGATTTATCAGGCATTCCAGCCACGTCTCACTTAAAGTTTCATCTTTTTCTGCCACATTAGCCATTGTTCCAGTGCTTTACTGCTCAGCAGTTGTTCATCAGTCTCTTCAGAGAAGTCAGTGAAGAAATGTTTCATTCTAACCTGCTTTTTTATTCACCTAATCATCTACACTTTGATTTTTGTGCAAAAGAACATTTTTTCCTTCAGTGATTATGTGAACAGGTCCATTAAAGTTCATTGCAATCGAGATACCATTGTAATCTTTTCCAATGGGAGGTGAAGTCTTATTGATATGACATTTTTAAGTATTTCTAACTACATTTAAGAGAGCATCAAGGTAAAAACTAAGTATGGATGCAGAGTTTGGGCCAAAGAGCAGATTTGGCATTCCCAATTCATAAGTTTTAGCCCAGGACACCTTCTCTTTTATTGCCTGAGTTATAACCAGACTCTCTACTTCATAACCATGGCTGTCTGTTGCCATGGAAATGGGAGAGTCCCTTGCGTTATGTGTGTTAGTGTATTATTGGTGAGGGTCTGGCTAAATCCAATTGCTTCCGATCTATGTAGTACATCTAAGCCCTTAAATAAGTCATTTCTGGCCGTGTTTTTCGCTTTGAGATGGCTGACTCTGGAGGGTTTCGTTTCTAGCAGCTTGTCAGATTTTTTAATGAAATACCTCTCAGCAAAGTAATTAGCTCCTGGTGGTCTTTGTTTGGCATTTGCAACCTTCTGGATACCGCTGTACATTTAAATCAGACTCGGGATCCCTGGATAAATCAGTTTGTTTATTACTGTTTGCTGATGCTGTGGATGCAGGTAGTATGGGAAGTTTTGAGTCACTTAAAAAAACTCAGCTTTACTAAGATGTTCCCCGACGCACAGAGATTTTCATTAGACTGAACTCACTCATCTATATGCATTTCCTACAGCAACTTATTCTTGATGAAGAGTGAAGCAGTGTATCCCAGCATCCATCAACGCTAAAACCTTCACTCTGCCATCAGGAGGCACAGAGCTTTATTGACCCCAAAGTATTAACATGTATTAAGCAACAATCAAGCTCGACAAATGCATTAAAATCTATATTTTGTGAAAATGTCCTCGCAATTTATTTTCTTTTTCAAGATTTTTATTAAGTGGCAAAACTATTAACTGACATATGATGGTAGCCTGGTTTTCTGTTTTTCTTTTTTCTAAACATCTGCCTGACATAAACAGTCTTGGTCTTGGACCTGTCATAAGGGCCCGTTCCCAGGGGACATTCACTAGACATAACCCAGCATAAGATTTTCATATTCCGACTTTTTTTTTTTCCTTTAGGGAAGAAAAAGGCCAGTATTTTGAAATGGTGTTTCTTCAATAAGAGTGAGTTTCCAAACCACGATTGTCCGTGTTTCTTTGTGACTGGAGATCTTTTCAAAGAGCCAAAATTGTCTTTCTTTAGCCGATCAACATGTGAAGCAAGATCAACTTTTAAACTGATTGAGAATCAGTTTTGTTGTACCAACAAAAAAGTTGCTAGAAAGGTTGAAAGCGTTTTCTACAAGGAGGAGAATATGAGGGATAGATCACTTCTTTCAGAGATGATACTGATGAACGTGGTGACTATTCTGGTGTGACTCTATAGGTTCTGGGGAGCGTAGTTGTCTTGGATGAATGTGGCTCCAGCGTTTAGTGCTTTAAGTGGTCATTATAACTAGAAAACAAGCATAGAAATTCAGTGCATTTGTCGTTTTTAGAGGCTGGTGAGCTCGTTTGCAGCAGTCGGATCCCAAAGGTTTTTTATTAACATCGCCAAACCTCAGGACTCAAATGAAAAGGGTTGTCAGGCTCAAGGATACAAAAGTCGAGGCAGAATAACTTCTGAAGGGAAGAACTATAAAGCTGTCTGCTCACTGAACTTTATTTACTGTGATATCTTTGCTTCGTTGCTCTGTTAGCCTAATAACTGCATATCTGAGTTTGATCTATCCATGTCAGTTCATTACAAATGTTCATTTTCCTCTTCAGAGTTGAGCTTATTTTCACCCTTTATCTCCACCTAAACAGCACAGATATGTCTTTATCTGTCCCACTGTTCATGCAGCAATGAGAGCTTTGTTTTCAATTAGTCCACTCAGTAAAAAGAAAGTACACCCTATGTGAATTCAAGCATTTTAAAGTATAAATGATGTAGCCTCTACTAGGTTTAAAAGTTATGTGAATATCACCTCAAGTGTGCAAAAGCATAGAGATATACTGATTGGAACCTACCAATTCTGATTTTGACTGAATAATAGGAAGTCTTAAGGCATCTTAAATTGAAATAACTACATTTGAAAAAAATTATCCCCGTTTTGATGCATCGAAGCACATTATGCCGTTATCTTGTTCTCATTAAATTATAGTATATGGCAGTACATGCTGTTGTTTGATGTTTGACTGTAGGCAAAGAAGTTTGTATATATATATATATATATATATATATATATATATATATATGACCTATTAAATGACAATAAAAGAAAATGTCCATTTTAAGAGCAGCTAATTTCTAAAGTTGCTCTTAAAATGTTTTGCGTGATTTCTTCTTTGTCCTTTAGAAAAAATAATTCCAACCAGGCAAATTCTCGTTTTGAGCAGAGTTCAGTCAAACTAACGACTTGCTTCACCTGTAGCATCTTTACCATTTTGAAATAGGAGTTGTTGTTTGTTTGCTTCTTTGCTGCCACTCCGTGGTTTGACACACTTCAAATTTTATGATATACAACACCCACAAGCAGCAGACATCATTTGTTGCGTTTTCCTAACCGATGCTCCATTTTACCTCCGACAGACTGACATTTTCTCGTCTGTTCTCCAGTTGCGGCTCCACTCCAGCTATTAAGTCGGAGCTTCATCATTTCAAGTAGCCTCTGCTGTTGAGTTATTGCCTCGTAGTAATCTTGTGTATCATCAGCACTGAATGCGAGGATTCAGAAGTTGCCTGCAGCCTGAACTCGGAAGAAAACAAATGTCCTCATTTTGCCAAAGTCCTGAAAATCTAGTTTTAAAAAAACAAAAATCCACTTAAGCTACCAATTGTGCAACTAAAGTACCTCTGCTTTGCCTTATAGGTAGATTTAATTCTTTGTAAACAAAAAAAGCTGTTAAATTACAGTGGATCATAGCACTGTGACAATGCCATAATTCACACAGCCGTTACTATGTAAAATATTAGATTTAATTTCCTGTTGCATACTTCACTGCGGGAAGAGCTTGACCTTTGCTTTTAAATGAACAAGGAGGTCTTTTTGCTGTTATATATTTTGTAAATCATCCACAGTTTTCTCTGTTTTGTTCTCTGGAAACCTCAGCACATTTGGTGTTCATGCTTAAAAATGTTCATAAGCTCTTGCCGTCCGTCACTCTGGGTCTGTTATTTTCTATATGTTGAGACAAAAGAAAGTTTTGAACCGCTGGAACATTTTACAGGCATGTTTGTCTCCCTCTGCTGGATTTTGAGGGAGACTACAAGTACCATGACGGTTCTGAACTGGGTAGTCAAAGATGTGAAGCTGTTATTTAGTAATTTTCTTACTTTACAAGTTTCTTTAACTTTATCTTATAGTTTGAACGAATGTCTTTTTTTTTTAGCACAAATGTATGTTTTGTTAAAGATATCTAAGTATGTTTCAAAAATATATTTGTGCATTCGCCCACAAATGCTGTATGTAAAGCTAAGGGGAAGAAAGAAACAAACGTAATATACAACTTCCGAGCCACACCAATCTTCTGTTTCGTGAAGATCTTTTTGGTTGGTTTTTATTTGTCTCTTTTTAGACACGGCTTCACTCACAACATTATTAAACTGCGTAACGTTGTAGATAAGGAATTGTACTTTCAACTCCTTCTGGAATTCAAATTAATTGTTTGTAGTCACTTCTCACAGAACAGGTAGTGTCTCCCGCAACTCAGTTTATCAGATTTGATCAATAGTTCCCACTAGAGGGCAGCAAGTTAAAAAAAAAAATTTCTTATGCTTTGACTAAAAGAATTCTTGTTTTAAATTGGTGATTTGCTCTTACAACTACTCTGCCTTGTCTATTTATTTGTGATATGCTCTTAAAAGTCGGCACTGCTGATTCGGAGTTGAGCTGGTTGAGATTTCTCTTTATAAAGTATTCATCTCCTTGGATGTTTTACCCTTTTATTGCTTTCAAAAAGGATAAAATGGAGTAATTTTGCTGTAATATATTCTGCTTCCTGTTAAATACTGAGGACTATCTCCCTGTGGTGAGATCGTGCTTGATGTCTCTCCATAATGAATAATTTTCTTTCAAAATGGTCTTTACAGCGTTTCTGCTTCCTCTTAACGAAATTTTTAAGCGCCTCATTTTTAGTTTCCTACTCACTGATCAGGGGCAGTCAAATGCAAAAATCCTTTGATTGCTGACACCACATCTATAATTTTAAACTGCTCTGTGTTCACATTTCTTCTATTCTTGTCAGTCCGACAGAGAAATTAAATATGTGGTAGCTGATTTCCAAAGGTAGCTCATCTTTTGGTTAGAGTTTTGTTCCACAGTAACAGTCAAATTTGCATGTTTTCAAAGAATTAATATGTATGCATTTATGTTGTTAATTTGCCTGTGTCAGGAATTTGCTAAAGACTCCGAATGTGATTAAAAACAAAGATCACACACCAGGTTCTGACGTTTTGCTATCTATTTTGGCTCAGCCTTAATTCACCAAGAGCCATTTTTAACTTTAGTCACACACCCAGCTGGAGTGGTGTCTAATTCATTAGCTTACATGGACTGTTGTTGCATGGTTACAGGTAAGCTGGTAGTGAACGTGTGGTGCACCAGGCCAGTCTTGGGAGCATGGCGAAGGCCCAGAAATCGCCTGGGAGGAAGACTGCTCACTGTCTCCGCAGACAGGTACTGCAAAAAGAAAAACACTCTTGTTACCTTCCTCCTCTTTTCCCACTTAGACTTTCTTGTATCCCTAACTTGGATAAGGTTGTGTCCTGCCACCTCATCCAAGCACGAGTGTTTGAATGTACGGAGTGGCCCAGTGCCCAAGCGGTACACCGTCTTGTGCTGATGTATTGTAATGTGCCTAATGTGAACTCATTTATCCATTTCCAAGGGCAGCAGGGACACACCGTTAGCTAGACAGACACAGACAGAGAAAATGAGAATAAATTGGTTTGTGGGAAAGAAAAAGATTAAGGAGTGGAAGAGGGGGAAGGTCTGGTTTACAGACTCAACAGCTGGGCCTGGACGATTAATTGTCTAAAAAATTATTGCGATAAACGATAATATTGTTTCAAGACCTTTTGACACTGATTTAATGGAAATGACTAATAATGCATGCTATTTCCTGCCATAGATAGATGCGCTTTATTTTCAAAAGAACACATGACACTGGAACTGATAAACTAAATAAACAAAACGAGCAAAAACAAAAATAAAATGGATTCTCAGTCTCCATTAACAAAAAACGTACTTGAATAAAAACTAAACAACATAAAACCAAAGTGGAAATAAATACTGCATTCAACCAAAAGAGTGCAGATTATGAAGTCTGTATACTGTATTGGCCTTCAGTAATCACTAGATTTAAATAGAGAAGATGGCCATCCGACTACCTAATGCTCTATTCCAGAACAGCTGATTCAAATGATTGCATGACCATCAAGTACTGCAGAAGCCTGTTAATCACCCAGAGACACAATTCAGGTGTGTAGCAGAAGGGAAATACCTAAAGCACGCAGGACAGGGGGGCGGTGAGGACCGGAGTTGAGAAACACTGACCTAATGCAATAGTTCACACTGCACGACTTTTTGCCCCTATTTTCCCCTTACGACAATCTTAGAACGTTGGCTGATCTAAGATTGTCGCTGGTGATTTCGTAACCGATCATCCTGCAGTGTGATTTAGATCGTTGTGGCCTAAATCAGGGGTTTCCCCCGACTGGGAGCTGAAATTACGGAGGGGAATCCCAAACAGCTGACACGGTGCAACCCGAAGTCCAGCGGACATCAGAGATGATATGTGCAAACAACATTAATGTTTATTCAACATTTCGTGCAAGGAATATGGAAATGACAAGGGGTTGGAGCAATTTGGCTCCAACTCCTCTATGGTTGGAGATAAACACGGTAACTTTTCAGCTGTTCTTCGTTAACGTGACATAAATAGGTTATAATGATTTTCATTCAGTCAGGACTTTACGCTGACTCTAGCCACATGCATTGCAGGTAGATTCTAGTAAAGCATTGATTAATGCCTGATTTTAAAATTAGTAAACTGGACTTGTAGCCATTATTTTGGGCTACAAGTCCAAAATAATGGCTGC